AAATTGGACAGTACAAGTGAATTTTATTAAGAAATATAAAAAGATACACCTAGTCAGAGGGACGTAATGAGCATTATCCTCAAATGCATATCTATACATAAATAAAAGCTTAATAATAATAATAAACAAATAAGTAGTGTTAGAAGGCATTAAACTAGATGATGATCCATAATTCTTTTTCTTACGAAAAGGAAATAAATTTTTTCTTCTTTTGGAGTTCCGATTATGATCCGACATAATAAAAGATGACTCATGAATAATATGTAGAAATGCTTTTAATCAAAAATACCAACAACAAAATCAGACCGAAGATTATACGCAATGCACAATATATTTTGCCTTCAATATATTAGCATAAAGATGCAAATAACAACCACATATATTATCAACAAATAACAAAAACGACACAAGTACCGGCTTTAAGATATTTTGGAAGGAAGTATGTGGTTGGCCTTCCGTGCCACAAAGAGACTAGAAGTCTAAAATAATTTTTTCAAATTTAGAAACATAAGAGTAGATAGCAAAAACTTGAAGTAGAAAGCAAACAGAGAGTAAAAAATGGAGTATAAAAAGTAGGAGACAAAGAAAACATGATCGAATCTCACTCTGATAAGGATAGCTTGGGCTTATTCTTGTGACTTGTGTGAGTGCTTAGCCTTCAATCCTGATCTTCTTCTTTATATATACCAGTCTCTGCAAGATTTCATCTAAGTATGAAAACTGTTATCAACAAATAAAAAATCCTAAAAAATTGATGGTGACAAGAACCTAAATTCAAAGCAAGAAGCACAAATACCTCATAAATTATAGTTCTTTGAGCAGCTAGCCTCCGCCAATGATGGGCAAAAAGTCAAAACGCGTGAGAAGAAGAGAATGTGGCTGGCTCTGGATGGCCATCTTCGAGATAGGGTTTTTTGGGGGCTATTTTGGGTCGGGCAGCAGCCCAGCATGCCCCTGCTGCTACTATGCATCATCCAAAGCAAAGGCATGCAGCCTCAATCAAAAGACATTGTAGGGCCGCAATGAGTACACATCTACCTATAAACACTTGCCTCACACATGCCGTGCTACCGAAGGGCATTCCTGTTCGAAATAAGGACATATGTTAGCACCCTCCTGGTCATAGGACAAAAGTCCCACATTGACCAAATCATCGAGGGACCTCACTTAAGGCCTCTTGCCCGGTAACAATAATTTTGCACATGTACAATTACTCTGCTAACTTACACATAAACATTTGTGCTAACTTAAGCATCGAAATGTCTTCGATTAATACCACATTTGTGCCAAGATCTTGTGGATCCTTTTCTCCATATTGCAAATTGATTTCAACCTAGCCGAAAGATTCCAATAATCAAAGATCAAGTGACTTGCAATTGAATCAACTTTTGGCATCAAGTATTAAAACTTTGCTTACTACAATGTAGTGTACTTAATTTGAACTGAAAAATGCCACACCAACCTACCACAATTTGCGAAGTGATGTTACATCTCTCACTCCATTGCCTGGAGAAAGACTTTCATTAAACAGGAATAGTATTGTTTTATTATCTTCAATTAATAACGCTATAATACGCGTGATAATATTTCTACCGGATATATTATTATTGGTCGGAGATTACAAGTGCTATCTCTATCACAAGTAAGTTTTTCTTCATTGCTTGATGGCAATGCTTCCCCAAATATTCGTGCATGTGTTGGCAACCTTTGGATCTCTCTTGAAAATTGATGTGAAATTCCATAATGCGTTGGACCAATTCAAATGGTGCCAAACCTTTCGAGGGGTCATTTTCGGAAGAAAAACAAAACCGAAAACGAAGTTTAATGAAAAACTCGTAAAATTTTAATCGAAGTGTCTTTTTTAATGATTAGTTTTTGCAAAAATGGCTGCCGTGACGAATAAGGAGGTCAAAGTGTTTGACGATAATACCCACGATGGCCGAAGTTGTTGACCATCGAGTCCCACTCTCCATCACGGGAAGGAAGAAAACTGTGGCATTTTCCACTCTACCAATTATAGGGTAAAATTGAGAGGCATCTATCAGTGGACGGCTCTAGATTTGTTTAATGAATAGTAAGACTAAGTGAGTTTAGTCATTTGCCATGATAAAATATATTTCGTGCAGCTTTCATATTTGATTCTAATCATCACTAGATATAATAACTTTCGACCACAAAATTTCAGAAATTATCCACCACATATACGACCCAAAGTATGTGAGGGAAGATGAAAAGAAATACTATATGTTGGAAAAATATTTAAAGTGTAATCCGTTATTTTTCTCTCACAATAACATAGTCATGTGCGGAAGTGGAGTCACATATAGGCTTGAAGTGACTGTGGCCCCCAAAATTCCATAAAATCCTAGAAATTTTATATAAAACTTTGAAAACTTGTGGATAATAAGTTTATAAACTTCTCAGCTATTGACCTCCCAATATTTGTAGTCTAGTTTCGTCATTGGTCACGTAACTATAAACAAGCATTAAATCACGTGACTACAAAAAGAGAATACATATATCCCGTTACACCTAAGATTTTTACTTTTAATCCGTCGATTTTACCTTTTGTTTAGGGTAACAAGCTCATAGTTGTTTTTAGAAACCGAAGTTATTGCATTGCAAGATGCAAAGTGTACACATTTTGTTGTTACTTATATATTATGACATATTGCTGGTTATGGTAGTAGTATTGCTCTTCAACCCTATTAATATATATATATAGTCCCCTTTTATTGAGGAATCCCTCAAATAATTTTATTTGAGAGACGTCCTTTAGGATACCCTACAATTTTTTTTTCCAATGATCCAAACCATATATTTTTTAGGTCTTCATTCATAGATCATCCTTACAAAAAATTAGACAAATCGGAAATTGTTTCGACATCCAATTGTGTCTTACAAAATCAATGAACACGGTGCTTCAAGAAAGGACTAAAATTTCAATAACTCAATTGAGTGGTCAAATGATATCGGATTCAAGTGATTTTTTGTAGAGATGATTTTTGAATGAGTATCTACAAAATAGACGGTTTGGATTAGTGAAATACAATCCATAATGGGGCCTACAAGGGGTGTCCCTCAAATAAGCTTATTTGAGGGATCCCTCAAGCGCCAACTGTTCGACATTGACTAATATCATGAACCTTGACATGGTCATTGCGGCGTGATTGGAGGGTCTCACACTTTATAAAATTTGTTGGAGACGAAATTGAGTTGATCTGAGCCATCTACTTTGTAACACATGGATTTGTCTCTATCCACTTCAAATTACTGTTCAACCAAAAGAAATTGCTTTTCGTTTGTTCGACAATAGCACCAAAAAGCCAAATTAGGAGGAAGCTGTTTTCCGAATAACAACGAGCAAGCAAATGGCAAATGGTTTGACCGGCACAAATATTATGCGTGGGTAGAGCATCATTAGAAATTGCCATGGAGGATGCCAATTCCATACAGCCAAACTGGTTGACCAGCGAAATCTTCAATTAGACTCTCGAAAATACATTTAAAAATGGTGTAAGCTTATCGTTTCAGCGGTCGAAGTAACGATGATGATACTTCCCTTGACTCGAAAAAGAAAACACATTAAAAAAAATGATTGCTGGAAACATATATTTGTTCTTTGTGTGTGTTAGTTGTATATCTGCTCCAAAGACGATTAAAATTTCATATTGGAGAAGCCAACATAGACAAAAAATGAAAAGGGTTCTTGACCAATATCTCATTTGTACCAACTTCCGAATCCAACATACAATGCGACAGACAGATATCTAGGTATTGGGTGCAAAATAATAAATCACATGAAACTTTGACTCAAAAAAAGTGGATGATCAGAGGCCCAAACTGCCGTTGGAGCTGGTTCAACGACTTCTCCAAGATGTTTAGCTTAGCTACTTTGTTTTGGTCACATCATCACTAACGTTTAGCTCATCTTGCTTAAAAGTGAGTTGAGCATTGCCTCCGGGGGATGTTGTTTTCAATCAAGCATCATCAAACGACAGATAATCTGCATCTTTTGACCGTTGGAGTGAAGTCGGTGCCAAGCAACTGTATCCCACAAAATTACAAGCTAATTTACCAAGATGTTTCACTAATATAATATTATTATAGTGCAATATAGACAGGCTTATCTTATGCAATATGCATGACCAGGTTTGGTATAAGATTCTCCAATACTCCCAACCACATAATTTTGTTGGATTTCATTTTAGAAAATGGCACTAGTGGAAGATTAAAATATTTAAAAATCTAATCCCAATCAACTGCTAAACCAACCAATCTATGATCCTAATTTGATTTTTCCAGTTTTAATCATAATGCATTTTAATCATATGGCGTGTTGTGCACTACAAACCATTGCATGATTACTTCTTTTGGGGGCCTTTTATTTTTGTTGTGTTATTTTAAAATGGACAAAGAGTCCAAACAAAAGCAACTTTTATTTATTTCCCTCTTAATTTAATGTGATTTTGTTTTAATCAATGGGATAAGAGGGTATTAAAATTGGACTTTCTTTCAATTTTGGAAAAAGAAGTACCGTGAGATAGTTGATTATCTTAATGTAACTTTCGTTCAAGTTTATGGATAAAAGTTATTGATCAATTACAAATTTTATGTTTATGTATCTGTTAACGGGAGATTAGAGTCAGAGATCTTTTCCAAAATTGGAGAGAAATACCATTAAACCGATGTTGGAAAAAAATAAAAATAAAAATTGAGTTCGAATAAGATAGAAGAAGTCTCTCTCAAAAAACAGAAAACAACAGATAGAGGAAGTCAGCTATCGGCCAGGGTAACCCTTTAGCCCATAAGACCAGGAGCCCAAGACCCAATACTTAATTGATATTGGGCTCTAGCTTTTATTTTGAGCACTAACAACAAATCTTCCATGACCCAAAATTTCAGAATCAGCATCGTCTTCTTTGAGTAGGTTAAGCCTTAAACCATAAACCCTAGGCGCTCCTGAAACTCTCCCAAGACAAAAAAAAGGGGGTTGGAAAATGTCGGACAGAGAAGATTACGATTCGGACGCCCCCGAGGAGTTCACAGCCGAGCAGGTAATCTAAGTCTATGAAGAGAATTTAAAGTTTATATTTTTATTTCAGAAAGCAAAAAGTTTAGAACTTGGTTCTTGTTTTGGTAATGGTTACAGGGAATACAACAAGACGAAGAACTAAGTAAGGTCCAGAAAGAGAATAAAGCGAGGTGGGTCACTTGTTTACCTTGCTCTCTTTTGCTAAACACTGTTTTGATTTTAATTAAGGTCTTGTTTGGTTGCTTTTATAAATTGTAGGAAATTGAATTACTTGAATTGAGCTGACCTGAGTTCTTATTCTAAGTTGAGCTGCGTTGCTCAATTTTAAGAGAATTAAAAAAAAACCCAAATTACAGGAAGCCAAGAACTCTGTTTGTTGTACTTAATGGTGTTTGTCACCAGTCACAGAACTTATATAAAAGGAGTAGGAGGAAGGGCTATTTTTATTTTCTCCAATTTTTCGATGTGCTTTAATTTATTATGATATCAAATTATTGTTTTTTCTTCTTCTTATGCTTCTTGATACTTTGATAGGCTTGAAATCCATTTACCAGCATGGAATAGATATAAGGAATTAGTTGGATCACATGGAAGTTATATCCGACAGTTTTTTATGGACAATGTTTTGTATGTTTCTGTGCCTATAAGAAGTTTGATGCTTTGCATTATCGGGTGACTCTTAGGAAACCTTCAAAAAGTTGATTCAAGAAGTGTTACTGGATTGTGGATTCTCTTTCTTTTATCATTTTTGGCGGTGAATCACCAATTTGTGAAACATAAAAATAAAATATGAAATTAGTTTGTATAGCTTTGGTATCCACCTTTTGCATTTATTTTGCTGAAGACATAAATTTTAATGGAAATTGATATTACTCTATACAGGGTGGTTCGCGAAGGAAAAGAACGTCGTAGACAATGGGCCCAAAGGAAAACACCAAAGAAAACACCACAGCCGTCTGCTGGAGTTGAAAGTGTTCAAGATGCCCCTGAAACTGAAACACACCAAGAATCTTTGGGTAGTGCAGGGATGCTTCCAAGCAACATTGTTGAATTGCTTGCAGCTCGTGAGAAGTATGACCTCTCTCTCTCTCTCTCTCTCTCTCTCTCTCTCTCTCTTATCTGTCTGTGGATGATGATCTTTAGTTCTCATGAGATTGTAACCAAATCGCCACATTCAATGTGCAGACAAGTGTTCCACTCAGACTCTGAGGATGAGAATACTGACTCAAAGTCCACTAAGAAAAAGAAAAGGCTAAAAAGCTCAGGGTGAGGGACCTCTTCTATAAGGACTGAGGAAAATACTTTTGATCTCACTCCATTTTGAATGAATATGTAATTTCGTTTTTTTCCTTTTATTTTGATTTGCAGGGTTGATACTGTTATTTTGAAGGAGACACCTGCTCCAAAATGCTTACAGAATTCCTTGGCGTTCTTGGAGAAAAGGAAAATGCAGGTGTCTAGATCACATGCAGTGTTGAACAACTCCAACCAAGCCTTACGCTTCCTCTCTTCTTCTGGCTTGTTGAGTAAAAACGTGACGAGCTAAATGCCAGCATTTTCTTATATATTTTCTCGTGATATGTGCTATGATATTGTATTCTCTTAGTCGAGCTATGCTGATATGTATCGTACTTAGCTCCTCTAGGAGGGCATGCCTATGAATGATCAAAATGGAGAGGGATCATGTCCCCATGGCCCAACTGTTTATTTTATAGAATCTGCAATTGTGTTGTAGTCGCATTGTTCTCCATCATCTGTGACATTATTTTTCTTTCCTTTCTGTTTTATTGATAAAAGAAAGAGTTTTTCCACCCTGATCTTTTGAAACATGTTTAGTGCCAGCACTAGTCTGCTGCTAAGTTCTGTGTAGGGTGGGAGGCTAAGAACAGGGCAAAGCTTGGTTAGAGCTTGATGATGAGAAAGAAACATTTGAAAGATGCATGCAATACATATGTTATGAGCATTATTTTTAGGAGTTTGTCATTCTCCTAGTCTTAGAGCATCTCCAACCGATGTGTCAAAAGTGCAACATAGACATTTAACGACTAGAAATAACATCTCACATTACTCCAACCGATGTGTCAAAGCTGATGTGGAATGAAGGCTGGAGGTTGAGATGTTATTTTTGACATCTCAAAAGCAAGATGTCAAATGAATATTTTATTATTTTTAAAGATAGTTGGTTGTTATTTTAATTTATTATTTTCCTTTTTATATATATTTTTCTTCTTTATTTTAAATGATTTGACTGTTACAATAATTATTTATTTGACATATTGGGTGGAGTGTAAAACTGTGTAAATGTCAAATTGCCATATCAGCCATCAAATTTAAATTTGATGTTTGGTATTTGACATCTACCTTGGAGATGCTCTTAAGCTCTGGTCCTGCTTAAGAGCGTCTCTGACTGATATGTCAAAAGTGCCACATAGACATTTAATGGCTACAAATAACACATCACATCACTCCAAACGAATTGTCAAAGCTAATGTGGAATGAAGGCTAGAGGTTCAGCTGTTACTTTTGATATCCCAAAAGCAAGATGTCAAATGAATATTTTATTATTTTTTAAAAATAGTTGGCTGTTACTTTCATTTATTATTATTTTTTTCTTCTTTATCTTAAATGATTTGACTGTTACAATAATTATTGATTTGACATATCAGGTGGAGTGTAAAACTATGTAACTGACAAATTGCCACATCAGCCGTCAAATTTAAATTTGATGTTTGGTCTAAGTCCTTTTATGTTTCTTTTTAGAATCTATGATTACGGTTGGGAAATCTATTGGAGCCATTATTGTATTTCACCTACTCATCATTTCATTGGTGGTTCCAAAATGAAAATTCAGCTGCTTTTGGCAGCTAAAACATGGACTTGCTCATAAATTAAAGAGAATTGTACTATATTACATTATAATTAGTGTCTATCGACATAAATTCTGATTCAGATCACCAAAAGGCGACATGAATGTATCTCTCTCCTATTCGATCGTTTCCCCCACTTTTCCACCGTCAGATAGTTTGTTGTATGCTCTAAATTGATGCACAAAGTAATTAAATTGCCCTTCAGCGATCTGTTTCTTGCTCAAGATCATATCAAAATTCGTGTTTGTTCCTTTGCTCACTGCAAGGGGATTGCAGATTCCACTGATATCAGCTCACAGGTAAAAATGTTTATGAATTATGATCAACATACACGTTTCAATTTTGATGAGCAAGAGAGCTTATAATCTTCAGATGGGTTGAAGGCATGACATAAGTAGTACTGGTATTTAACAAGCAGTTAATTGTGGCTTTGGCCAAAGCCTGCTTAACACATAATAGCTTTCCATCTACATAAAAAGTAAAACTACAAGATCAATAAACTAAAGACTTAAGGGGAAGAGAAAATGTCCTCCTGGGGCAGCCATGTCTGGTCCACTGAGGCCATAGAAGCAGCTTCCTGTGAGCTGCTCATCAGAGCTTGAAAAGCACTTTTGACCTTGCTCAAGTTCTTGTGGTGACGAATGCGTCGAAGAACAACATCTCTGTCCATGGCAGCACCAGGTGATGATTTCAAGTAGACATGCCTGGTGATGGAAGAACTCTGTGCTTCTGAGAGTTCTTCATGCCCATCTTTCTTCTCAGCTTCTGAGAAAGATGGTTGCTTTTGTTGTGGTGGAGCTTTGGAAATGATGAAAGCCATTTTTCTTTTTATGGGGAGGAAATAATTGTAAGTTTGTGAAAGATGTAGGGTTTGGGATCATATAATATAGGAGGTGAGGCAATGTGACTGCCTTATGGGGGTATGGGGCTTGATTTTATAGGAGATTGGTATCGCGGTGGTTTGGTGGTTTTATCTATTTCATGTCTGTTTTGTTCCTCAGCTTGTAAGTGGTTTGTTGGGTTTCAAGGTTCTCCATGGCCTTTAGTTTTTCTGATCCAATGCAAACCATGGACAATTCTGATTAGCCGACTAAAAGGTGATATGCAAATATAATATATTTAACGCGTATAGCCGGGCGGCTATACTGTGATTTTTTTTAAAAAAAATTAATAGTATCCTAGGCCCTAGGCGGATTTTTTATATATAAAATAAATAGTATAGCCGCTCGGCTCTACTGTGCTTTTTAATAAATTAATTAAAAAATAAAAATAAAGGCTGCCTAGGCGCTAGGCGGGTTTTTATTTTATTTTATTTATAATAAATAGTATACATGCGCAGCTATACTGGAACCCTTTTTTAATTTTAAAAAATAATTTTTTTCCCCAATTTTCGTTTATTTATAAGAGTAGTTTATAACATTATCCATTACTATTAGGCTATTACCTGAGTCTCTATTGTCCCATTTTGATTTTTAACTTTTCCAGAGTTATTACCCGTATAAAAAATTTAGCATTTCCACGTTTAATACTTGTATTATACACGTAAGTATGTATTTTTCTATAATACTTTCATTTTTTGTACACGTCTTAAAGACTTGGTAAAATACACGTTTTTTGACAAGCAAACATACAATACAAGTATTGTACACGTACGTATGTATTTTTCATGTGTTAATACATGTGTTTTTTTTACAAAATTTTCAATAATACACATAAAATTCATGTATTATACACATAATTTTAATATATTATTATATAGTGGCGGAACTTTTCAGTTGTAACTTGCCAAAATTTTACCGAATAAAACACGTATGTATTTTATTCGTGTTCTTCTCGTTTCGTATTTTACTTACTATGAAAGAATTTTAGAGGCTAAGATTAGTTTTTACTTGTTGTAAGAAAAATACAAAATGGTAATTTTGCAATCTCTTTGCGTAGAACAACAATTTCGAAACAAAGATTTATAGGTATAGTAGTAAGAGATGTGGGAGTATTCTTCATGTAAAATGTTGTTTGAAAAGTGAAGCATAAGCAAAAGCTTGCCATGTCCTAAAATCCTATGTGCCATATGAATTACAAAATGCTTCTCTAGATGTATTTAACAGATGAATGCATCCCTCCTTCAAGAACATGTCAAATGTCAAGAGAAATTTTGAAAACAACATTGAATGTAACAAGGAGCAGATTTTAATTAAGGTCTTGTTTGGTTGCTTTTAAAAATGTTGGAAATTGAATTCATTGAATTGAGCTGACCTGAGTTCTTTTGCAAATTCTAAGTTGAGCTACGTTGCTCAATTTTAAGAGAAAACCCAAATTACAGGAAGCCAAGAACCCTGTTTGTTGTGCTTTCTGGTGTTTGTCACCAGTCACAGAACTTATATAAAAGGGGTAGGAGGAAGGGCTATTTTTATTTTCTCCAATTTTTCGATGTGCTTTAATTTATTAAGATATCAAATTATTGGTTTTTTCTTCTTATGCTTCTTATACTTTGATAGGCTTGAAATCCATTTACTAGCATGGAATGGATATAAGGCATTAGTTGGATCACATTGAAGTCGTGAAGGTAAAGAACGACATAGACAATGGGCCCAAAGGAAAACTGACTCAAAGCCCACTAAGATAAAAAAAAAAGGCTAAAAAGATAGGTGTCGACGTCTGGCTATAATGAGGAGTTTAGAGTAACTAGCTTATTTAAGGAGTTCAATCCCATCATTTATTTTAAATGATTTGATAGTGGATTGAATCCTTCAAATAAGCTCCTTACTCTTTGTCCTTATAGAAGAGGTCGCTCTCCAAAGTGAAAACTCAGCTGCTTTAATTAGTGTCTATCTACACAAATTCTGATTCAGATCACCAAAAGTAATTAAATTGCCCTTTCAAGTCAGTGATCTGTTTCTTGCTCAAGATCATATCAAAATTTGTGTTTGTTCATTTGCTCACAGCAAGGGGCTTGCAGATTCTACTGATATCAGCTCACAGGTAAAAATGTTTATGAATTATGATCAACATACACGTTTCAATTTTGATGAGCAAGAAAGCTTATAATCTTCGGATGGGTTGAAGGCATGACATAAGTAGATGCATAATGAGTTGAAGCCGTACTGGTATTTAACAAGCTGTTAATTGTGGCTTTGGCCAAAGCCTGCTTAACACATAATAGCTTTCCATCTACATAAAAAGTAAAACTACAAGATCAATAAACTAAAGACTTAAGGGGAAGAGAAAATGTCCTCCTGGGGCAGCCATGTCTGGTCTACTGAGGCCATAGATGAAGCTTCCTGTGAGCTGCCCATCAGAGCTTGAAAAGCACTTTTGACCTTGCTCAAGTTCTTGTGGTGACGAATGCGTCGAAGAACAACATCTCTGTCCATGGCAGCAGCAGCTGATGATTTCAAGTAGACATGCCTGGTGATGGAAGAACTCTGTGCTTCTGAGAGTTCTTCATGCCCATCTTTCTTCTCAGCTTCTGAGAAAGATGGTTGCTTTTGCTGTGGTGGAGCTTTGGAAATGATGAAAGCCATTTTCTTTTTTCTGGGGAGGAAATAGTAGTAAGTTTGTGAAAGATGTAGTGTCGGGATTATATAATATAGGAGGGTGAGGCAATGTGAGTGCCTTATGGCGTATGGGGCTTGATTTTATAGGAGATTGGTATCGGTGGTTTGGTGGTTTTATTTATTTCATGTTTGTTTTGTTCCTCAGCGTGTAAGCGGTTTGTTGGGTTTCAAGGTTCTCCATGGCCTGTAGTTTTTCTGATCCATTGCAAACCATGGACAATTATGATTAGCCGGCTGAAAGGTGATTTGCAAATATACTATATTTAAAGCGTATAGCCGGGCGGCCATATTGAGATATTTTTTTTTAAATTAATAGTGTAGCCGAGTGGCTATACTAAATAGACGGCCAAAGCGCTATCTTAAAAAAAGCATGCAGCCGCGCGGCCTTACTGTGGGGTTTTGCCAAATTTTTTTTTAAAATAGTACAGCCGAGCGGCTACACTGTGCAAATATAATATATTTAAAGGTATATCCACACGGCTAGACTCTGGTTTTATATTATTTTGTTTTACATTAATAAAAATAATAAAAATAAAGGCCGCCCAGGCGATAGACGAGTCCCTATTTTTCATAGATAAATAGTATAATTCAAATATAATATATTTAAAGATTCTAGCCGCGTGGCTATACTGCTATTTTTAGAAAAATTAATAGTATAGCAGAGTAGCTATATGCCTTTTATAAAAAAAAAGAAAAAAAAGCACCACCCAGGCGCTAGGCGGGTTCTTTTATAATAAATAGTATAGTACGGCTATACTAGGTCCCTTTTTTAAATTTTTTTTATAAAACAAATAGTATAGCCGGGCGGCTATATTCTTTAAATATCGAGTGGGATCCCTTTTTCTTTTTCTTTTTTTAATAATTTTTTTCCCCAATTTTCGTTTATCGATAATAGTAGTTTATAACATTATCCTTTACTATTAGGCCATTACCCGAGTCTTTATTGTCCCATTTTGATTTTAACTTTTCTAGATTACCCGTATAAAAAATTTAGCATTTTCATGTTTAATACTCGTATTATACACGCACGTATGTATTTTTTTTATATATAATACTTCCGTTTTCCATACACGTCATGAAGTGTAATTCCTTAAATAAAATCCTTGAAAGATTGAAATTGCATGAAGCAAGTCTCTAAAGAATATGTGCCTAGAACACACATTTTGTACTCAATATTAATATGTATAAATTGCCTCAGTTAGTACACTAAATTATGATATGGTTGCAACACGTTACAACTCTTGAAGAGTTGATAATTGATCAAAACTACTGAAAAATTAATACTTTTGTCAAAACTCTTGAAGAGTTCAAGAAATATTTATCTCGGCCTGAAGATCGAGCATTATGCCAACAAGATTCTTGCTTATACTAAGAAAGTATTGAAGCATTTTTATGTGGATTATCTATTAGGTACTTAAATGATTTTATGGAAGTATACTGGACCAGACATTATATTTTCCAGATAAAGCTTAGCTCCACACCACCACTTTGGGATGATATGAGACATATTTGATGCTATCTCTGCATAAAACCATATACGGGCATATTCTTTTCAAGTGAACTTACAAATAGTCCAGGTTTTGTTTGATTTGCGGACTCTGGAAATTTCTATGATTTATATAGAGATAGCTCACTAGAAAATATATTTGCTTACTCAACTACTTGAATTGTTGATGGCTACATCTCTCACTCAGTTTGAAAGATCTTCCCTTTAGAAAGATACTCATGAAGATATCAGGGGGAGCATCCAGAAGTATGTTATACTGACTGTTGTACTCTTCTTCCTTCCATTAGTTTTCTACCTCACTGGGTTTTCTTCAAAGCAAGATTTTAATAAGGCAACTGACATATCATTTGTGGTCTCCAAGGGGGAGTGTTGTAAAGTCAATAATGGAGCCCAAAATGGTAGAACCCACTACCTAATTGATTGAAGAATATTAATGATGCTTGTCTGTCGAACACTTGAGCGAAGCCAAATGCTTATGAGTGAACATCCAATATTTTGGCCTATAAATAGACACCTCCATCAGTAGAAAACATATCTCTCCAGAAAAAGGACGAGAGCACACCAAGTGAGAAAGAAAGAAAGCCTCGGCAAAGAAGGAAGAAAGAGGAAGAATGAGAGGAGATAGCAGAGAGAAAAATCAGTGAGCCAGTGAGATTGTAAACACTAAAGATGTAGCACTATTATTTTACATAGTGAAAAGTTACTATTGCTAATGTCCGAGGACATAGGCATGGCTGAACCTCGTTAAATATTGTGTCTCATTTACTTTATGTGCAGCTCAATATTCTCACATATTCCAGTTCATTTTACAACAATAAGGTGATTTTGCAATCTCTTTGCCAACCAGAACAACAATTTCAAACAAAGATTTATGGGTAAATTAGTAAGAAAGGTGGTAGTATTCTTCATGTAAAATGTTGTTTGAAAAGTGAAGCATAAGTAAAAGCATGCCATGTCCTAAAATTCTATGTGCCATATCAAATACAAAATGCTTCTCTACATGTATTTAACAGATGAATGCATCCCTCCTTTAAGAACATGTCAAATGTCAAGAGAAATTTTGAAAACAACATTGAATGTAACAAGGAGCATATTTTAATTAAGGTTTTGTTCGGTTGCTTTTAAAATTGTTGGAAATTTTATTTATTTATTTTTTATCAAATAAAAACTTCATTAGATAAACTTCAACGACATCAACAAGACATCTAAAATACCAATCCCAAGAGGGCAAAAAACTAACATGCTAAAAACACAACTAACGCGAACAAAAGCCGCACTAAAACTACTAACCCACATCACCACAATTAACCATAAACCCAAACAAAGCCCACAAACCCAACATAACCAAAACCCTAAAACAACTCATGAGCCTAGATGAACCATACCACCACCACATGATAAAGCATCGTCGCGGCCACACCCACCACTGCATCTGTAACAGATATGGGGAAAATATGATTTCCAATGATCTACCTGCACATAAGAGCGAACAAATAAACGAAAATAACAACTTTGCCAAAGAACAATTGGGTGATTTGCAGCAACCTCCGTCAAAGAAGATGTATAATCAAATTTAGAGAACATGAGCGACATCAGGGAGCGGGTTTTGGGAACAAGATTTGATTGAGAACATAGACTGAAAGGGTTGATGGGGAACTTCAATCTAACTATGGTTCAAAAGAAACCACCACATAGGGTTTTTTTTTCAAAACGCTCTAGTGAACTTATTCACTAACCTAAAAGGAAAAGAGAAGAAGAGGAGGGGGAGGAGGGGCGGTGACGCTTCTTCCTCCTCCTCCCTCTATAAAGTTTTCCTTTAGGACTCACAGAGCGAGATAGCGGCTAGGGTTTCTTGGGAGATCACTCGTATGAACTCACTAAAAATGTTGGAAATTGAATTCATTGAATTGAGCTGACCTTAGTTCTGCAAATTCTAAGTTGAGCTGCGTTGCTCAATTTTAAGAGAATTTTTTTATTTAAAAAAAACAAAAAACAAAAAACAAATTACAGGAACACAAGAACTCTGTTTGTTGTGCTTTATGGTGTTTGTCACCAGTCACAGAACTTATATAAAAGGGGTAGGAGGAAGGGCTATTTTTATTTCCTCCAATTTTCGATGTGCTTTAATTTATTAAGATATCAAATTATTGGTTTTTTCTTCTTCTTATGCTTCTTGATACTTTGATAGGCTTGATATCCATTTACTAGCATGGAATATATATAAGGAATTAGTTAGATCACATTGAAGCCGTGAAGGAAAAGAACGACGTAGACAATGGGCCCATAGGAAAACTGACTCAAAATCCACTAAGAAAAGGAAAAGACTAAAAAGCACAAGTGTGGCCTCTGGCTATAATGAGGAGTTTAGAGTGACTAGCTTATTTGAGAGTTTCAACCCTACCATCAACAAATGCGAGGAACTTAAACATTTTAAATGGTTTGATGGTGAGATTGAACCCTCAAATAAGCTCCTAACTCTCTGTCCTTATAGAAGAGGTCCCTCTTCAAAGTGAAAACTCAGCTGCTTTAATTAGTGTCTATCTACACAAATTCTGATTCAGATCACCAAAAGTAATTAAATTACCCTTCAGGTCCCTTTCGAGTCAGTGATCTCTTTCTTGCTCAAGATCATATCAAGGGGCTTGCAGATTCCACTGATATCAGCTCACTGATCAACCTACACGTTTCAATTTTGATGAGCAAGAAAGCTTATAATCTTCAGATGGGTTGAAGGCATGACATAAGTAGATACATAATGAGTTGAAGCCGTACTGGTATTTAACAAGCAGTTAATTGTGGCTTTGGCCAAAGCCTGCTTAACACATAATAGCTTTCCATCTACATAAAAGTAAAACTACAAGATCAATAAACTAAAGACTTAAGGGGAAGAGAAAATGTCCTCCTGGGGCAGCCATGTCTGGTCCACTGAGGCCATAGATGAAGCTTCCTGTGAGCTGCCCATCAGAGCTTGAAAAGCACTTTTGACCTTGCTCAAGTTCTTGTGGTGACGAATGCGTCGAAGAACAACATCTCTGTCCATGGCAGCAGTAGCTGATGATTTCAAGTAGACATGTCTGGTGATGGAAGAACTCTGTGCTTCTGAGAGTTCTTCATGCCCATCTTTCTTCTCAGCTTCTGAGAAAGATGGTTGCTTTTGTTGTGGTGGAGCTTTGGAAATGACGAAAGCCATTTTTCTTTTTCTGGGGAGGAAATAATTGTAAGTTTGTGAAAGATGTAGGGTTGGGATTATATAATATAGGAGGGTGAGGCAATGTGAGTGCCTTATGGCGTATGGGGCTTGATTTTATAGGAGATTGGTATCGGTGGTTTGGTGGTTTTATTTATTTCATTTTTGTTTCAAGGTTCTCCATGGCCTGTAGTTTTTCTGATCCAATGCAAACCATGGACAATTGTGATTAGCCGACTAAACGGTGAAATTTCATTGCTTTATTGTTTCTTTTCTTTTCTTTTTTCAAGAAGTAGGGTACAATAGTTGATCTTCTGCTCCCAATAGCCAGAGAGAGGTATAGGTGGAAATTTTTTTTTGGGTCAGAAGATGATTTTTGTTTATTTTCTGTTTTATTTTTTGCTGCTTCTTATTGTAAAATTAAATCAGAGAGTTATTTGTCCAAATGGAACCCAATGCAATAGCGGTTTGATTTTGTCAGCCACCTGAGGTGTGACAATTGACATGATCAAGGAATCTACCAACCTTTGCTATCACTGGGTTGGCCCCCACAGCCTTATCCTTGTTCTTTGTAAATTTGTTTTTTAGCAACAAAAATTGTGATCCAAAAAAATAAAAATTATGTATTGAAAGCTCCAAAACCAACGATGTCGGTGAAACGATTTCATATTTGATTCAACAACAATGTAATAGATCAAATCTTGTAAAATGTCATGCCAAATAAATCAAATTAAATTGCTAAAAAAATGGTTGTGGATTTCATTTGCAAATTTAGGATATAATTACTTCGTATCTGGTTTTTTTAAAATTTTAATTAAGATTTATTATTATGGTGTTCCAAATAGTGGAATTCTCAAAATTTCATAAATAAAAAAACAAAAAAAACTATCTGAGCTTCTGCCGCCGAAGCTGTAAATTTAGGATACATTATTAGTTAAATATTGAATGAGCGCCGAGATTTACAATTTGTGAAGATGGGTCCTTCAAGTCAACTGCTGGAGTATCTTTTCCATTTCGTGTTTCATCCAAATCCACAACAAATATTTGCAAGTTGATAAGCAACCAAGTTAGGAAACGATGGGCAACTTCAGTTGGTTTGGTTATAAAACTGGGGGCGTCTCTTATGCATTTACGAGGGTGACTTCAGATATGCACTTCCATTTGACCGAAAAAGAAACTGCTAAAATAGTAAAATATTACTGTACCAATTGGCTATTCGTCTAGTGACATTTCTCTTAAGTTTAAATCGCCCCTCCCCAAAAGATTAAAAATAAAATAAAATACTATAATGTACTGCTAAAATTACAACATATAGACAATTTAAAAGGAGGAAGAAATAAAAAATGCAAACGGAAAAGGAGTTTCATTCGTTGTTCTTGTTATCGAGGAAAGTCAACAAAAAGCCACTGACAATGCGACGGGCTACCGGATTAGGAATACAACGACATAACCTACCATCTATATATGCTACAATGCCTGATAAAAGAAACTTCCCAATGCCCCATTTCCAAGCGAACTTAACCCTGGGTGCTACCTCAGCAGGGTTTGCAGGCACAACTGCCTTTGCATTGTCACCCTCCGAATTCCATTTGATGCCGGCGATGAACTTATTCGCTTGCTTCCTCAGCAATCGAATGGCGAAGCTCACGAACAGGTGCTCACATAATGTCAGCACAGTCGGTCCGAGTCTCCACTCCTGTTGTAAAAAGTTTCTTAGTTACTTCTAATGGTTGATGGGGTGAACTCATGTAATGTAAGTGGTGAAATGCAGTAGGTAAAGTGAATTTTGCATGATAGTAATCACAATAGTACATATCTATTCGCAGCCAAGGAAAAAATCATGCAGAACAGAAATGAGCAACAAGGGTTGAGGGGGAAAGGGGGGACACTTACACTTTCACCTCGAAGATGACTCAAGGGGCGAGATGTAATTGAAGGATCTCCTTTTAGCAATGCCTTGCTCACAAGAAATCCCTTCACACGATCCATAATCTCTTCTATAAGAGAACTGTTCGGGGGTAGGTTTTTGAGGTAAACCTAAGCATACACACACATACATTAGAATCTCAAGTAGAATACTTTCTGGTAATGAAACAAAATTCAACTAAAAGATTTGCAAGTAGAAATGTTTTCTGTTGCTAGAATTCAAATAAACTTCACTGCACACAGACTCGCCCATCATTACCAAACAAAGATTTCATGTGACCCTAACGTAAAATGTGTGCCAAACTTCAACACTCTAGCCACTAGACAGAGTGATAAGTCCTAAGACCAAGATAAAAACATGCATGAATGGAGTTTAAATTCATATCCATGTATGCCTGAAAAACTTTCTGATTTATTTTAAGATTACCTGATTGTCGATGACCCTGACTCTCAAATATTCTTGTCTAAACACTGTGTCCAACATGGCTTGCAGGTAACCTTCAATATATAACTGCAGTAGTCCAAAAAAACCGATTGGTGATTAATCTTCAAAGGACAACATTTCATTCTAAAAAGAGTTGCCCTTTATTGGTTTTTGGTATTTCTTGTAATAATCTTTATAGTATTTACCTATCGATATTCACAACCTAAACCAGAACGCAATTTCAGTAAGTTACTAGGTTCAGAACTACACTGTTAAGAGGCGGAAAGAAAGGCAAGGGAAGGAATATGGCAAGGTTGTAATTTTATTACAATTTACGATCAGGCATAGCTATCATTACCATTACCATTAGAATTTAGTACTCATTGCTTCACCAAATTGAGTCTGATCAAACTTGAGATTCAATATAAACTTTTCATAGAAAGTAATTCTATAACTCGTAATCAACTGAACTTGTCCTACTCATCTCCATTTGAATTTCAACTCATGTCTTAACCTCATTTTCATATTAGTTCTCACTGGCAGATTCGTGTAGGGGTTCAAAATGTTGGCACACTTATCAAAACCAGGTATTTAAGCCTGCTGGCATTGCCATTCTGGTATCAACTAGTAAGCTTATGTCATAACAGCTGTGCCCTAAAACATAGAAACTTTACAGCCTGAAAGCTTCCCATGTAAATGCCCCCAATATAATGTTAGAACTCTTACCAGAGGAATTTGAAAAAGGTATTACCTCATCAGCCACAGGACTCCGGTCAAGCTTAATCTTTCTATCTGGCCCACCTTCCATCAAAGCGGTCCCCAGTAATGATGGTTCCATAGCCAATTTCAATATTCCTTGGTGAAATCCAGTCACCTTGAAAAAAATACCATTACAGCCAAAATGTGTCATTTCTTATTCAGATGTAACCAAACTAAGTGTGCAGCTGGTAATGTTAAGATTAATCCTACCACTCCGTTAAAACCACTTGCTTCTGCACCCTTCAAAACAGAGTCTGATATTTCAGTGATCGCAGCAAAGAGTACATTTGACCCCGCTGTTCTCAACTGTAAAGCCACCATAAAATTGATAGTTGGGTACATCCAGGAGTTTGCAAACGTATCGGTAACTGAAAGAATATAAAACTTACAGATTTTCCTAGATCACCAAAATAGCGTTTTGTCCCTGAGAACCCGTTACCATCAATACATTTACTGATTAACTTGAAGGTACCTGATCCATAAAAACAAAAACAAAAAAACCATATTTCAAGTCAGATATAAAACAGAGGGGACAAATGACACAGCAGAGTCGGGACCGGACATAGTTATTCAAAAGACCCAAGTGCTTATATGGATGTGGAATTACAAGTTCACTCAGATAGGAAAAGACAGGCAAAAGCAATCAACTTGATACATCTACCAGACCTGCAAATGCAACAATAGCCAACATGCATTTTATGCTAATAACAATCCACAAAATTCAAAAATACATAGCTGGACGGTGGTACTAAAATCTTTAATATGTTAGGCTTAATTCTGATTCTCATGTTGTCAATCACCTGTTAAGGTGAACTCTCTGACCTGTATCTTTGGCATACATTTCTACTCAATTCAAAGGATTTGGCAGATTCCGTTACAGCTCAAGAAATCCAGAATATTATATGAATGTAATTTGGATGCACGTCTTAATTCCTCATGACATGTCAAAGGCATTTTGATCTTTGATCCTCACTTTCAAACAAATCCCTGAAAAGAAACTTTAACAAATTTGTCTTTCCATGCACTCATCTGTTAGACCCCAATCCCAGAAATGAAATCAAAATAAAAAAATAAAAAATAAAAACGGAATTTATATTTTTTAAATGTCAAAGAAATACCACAACCAACCAACAAAAACCCAATCACTGGGCAACTAAAGTAAGAAACAAACAGGAGCCACAGGGGAGAATAGAAGGAAAAGAGGAACAACAGAAAAATAATAATCAAAGAACTAAAAGTGTGAAAGGCATACCTAAAGTCAAACCTGGAAGATTTTTTAACCCACGGGAAGGATCAAAGAAGACATCAAGAGAGGATGAAGCCAAGTCATCAAAGATTGACACAAAATCTGGTGGAAGCAATGGACTTCCTTTTGCAATATAGATAGCCCTCATGGCATACCTAATAATCAATTTAGTGCTCAGAAATGAACAAGCATCCTACATAAATCACAAAACAAGACTGAATATGACAGGTTTACCATGAATAATGTTGTGCACATTTGATAAGTAATTCACGCATCGTTATCAGAGCATGAGTGACCATAACGCCGTTGAGCTCTACAACCTTATTTTTAATCGCAGGGACCTAAAGAAATACAAGAATAGGGGAAATAAATAGATGGAGAAACACTCTCGTGAAATCCAAGAAAAGACAAAGTGATTTAAACATTTTAAGTGTACAAAATTTCCATAAGTATCTTGTGACACCTTTACTACACTGTGCAGTAAGGACCTTAGAGTCTCCTCAGCTGAACTGTAACTTGAATACGAGTCCCCAGGAAGAAAGTTTGCAAAAATCTACACAGGACATACAAACACAGGTCAGTTGCCATAGTATACTATAAATAAGGATGACCTTTTTATAAGCATAATTGAGACAATCTATAAAGGAATAAAATGAAAAGCATCTAACCTTTATCGGGTGAATCTCAAAATGATCAAAATAGTATTGCTGACTCTTGGAGTTACTAAGAGATGTTCTCCAAAATGGGACGATTTTCATTAATGTCTCCTCATCAAGATTTAAATCCATTGGCTGTGGAATACAAGACCAAGTCACAAATTCAGAGCTGCTACAGCCAAAGCAGAAGCGGACATACTACTATCAAATCTAAAGGACACCAGCTGACATCTATAGAAGCAAACAGAACGAAGGGAAAGGAAAAAAAAAAACACATATACAAAGGCTTAAGAAAAAAGAAGAGTTTAACATAAACGATTAGGTGTAAGGTGACTGATTTTACCTGCAGAGCAATAGATGAGTATTTAACTTGTACGACATTGGAGCTGGTTGAAAGGAAGACAACAACAATTTTGAGTACACAGTCATTTGAGTCATTGTAGTCGGATTCATGTCTACGAAGCATTGCTGCAAAAGGAGCCCCTACCCACTTGTGCTCCAAATTCACTGACTGCATTGATTTCAAGAAGGCACCACAGCAAGGTTATTTAAAGAAAAATGTCTAAACAAGCGTTGTATTAAAGCCCTTGAAAACAAGAAAAGAAAAGAAGATGACAGACCCTCAGTAAGTCAACAAGCATATAGAATAATACCTGTACACAGATCTGGCTAAATTTTTGCTCATGAGTAAAGAGAGAATCAAAGTTAATATTCCCAATTCTAGCAGCTAAGATTGGTTTGTAAGCTGATGGCTCCATATCATCTCCATCCTTCAGAATCAATTGTCAGATATGTCACTCAGTTGAACATGGTTAAGAAAGATGAAACTGACACTATAAATCGATATGGTCTCCATGTAAAACTCAAAAGGCAAGACCCTCGTTACATATGCTCAATAATAATAAAGTGAAACCTGAATAGTCTAGTAAAATGGAGATAATATTTTCATATTGTCATTCATACTAAAAGCTCGCGATTGAAGTATTTTCTAAGACACCGCATCCTAGCCTCCACACATGCACGTAGAAAAACTCAATCAGTACTGGGTACAAGAACCATGAACTGAAGGAAATTCAGCAATAAAAGTCTAAGTTCCAACTAAAATATAAATATTAAAATTCACTGGTTGACTGGATCAAGAACAACCACCAGGAACTGAGCAACAAGTCACCAAGAGCGGTTTAATTATTATTATTTCTTTAACTTATCCTTTGACAAAGAAAACTGCAAACTTAATACAAATGTGATTAAAATAAAAGGATCCAGGCAGGAGGTTGCATAATATCAATAAAAGGAAGTAGGATGGTAGGATAGTAGGTAATACGGTGACCTAAGCGTTCAATATGACTCTTTTACTTGCCTTCTTTTCATGTTCAAGTAGGTGGACTGTGAATTGTGGAACTCTTAGTTGAATCTTCTCACATGAATGAAACATTTTATCTCCCTTGTGGCTCCTGGAAATCTCACAAAATCTCAAAACCCGGGTTGGACCATCTGCATATACTTCGTACCCCACCTTCACCATCTCCATGGCATTTAACTCACCAAAATCAATCCTCTGGTCTACTGATCTTTTTCCCAAAGGTAAATGAGATGCCAACCCACTCTGTTGCCGTAGTTTGTAGAAAGGCTTCCATGCCCGTACCTTATCCAAGTTAATTTCACGTAGTAGAAGACTATCTACAAGAAAAATTAAGTAGTTCACTAAGCTACACATTCAATATCAATAACGTTGAAAGTAATGAACTAATGTGATTCATAAATTATGGGTACCCATGCTACAGGGATCCTTTAAACATTTTGTCCACATTGCACGTTGGTATGGAAATATTAAAAAAGCTCACTTCCGTCCCATAATTCAGCACAAAATGCATAAGGAAGCTTTTCTTTTCTAGAAAGAAAAAAAAACACGAGAGATCTTGAAATGAATGAGAACACAAGTTTTTAATAGAATTAAGAAGTGTTAATAAGTCATTTGCAAGCTTCATCTCTATGTTGATTATGACATGAAGTACGAAACAAAAATTATCATTTGCAATCTAATGAATTACTTCAAATTACTTATACAACACAAAAAGAGATTAACTGCTACCATTAATTCTGACAACCAACTTATGCGGAAGAGTCAAATCATCCCAAACATAATCAGTACCACTTTCAGATCCAAGAATCTCTGGCTCCAATGAATCCTGGAAAATTCAAGTAAATAATGAAAAGGAAAATTAACACACACATAATGGTTACAACCTGTATCTAATAAATTAGTAGTTGAGAAAATGTAACAGAACAACCTTCTGGTAGTAAGTTATAGATACATCATGCAAGCAATTCTCAATCCGATATGGTAGACTGACATTTGGAGGTTTATGGAAGCGTAAAACAAGAGTAGAACCTTCTTCCACAACATGAACAGCAGCGAATTCTGTTACACTGCTTTCTAGTGCTGTCACTTGGTCCATATGAGGCTTTTTGAATTTGAGGAAAAATCTTCCTAGTGATGCAATGCATACGGGCCCTGACCAACTTAATTTAGACTCATTCAATTGAAACTGAAGATATATTAGTGAATCATCATTAACTTTTCTGTGCTTTTTCATAATGTGCTCAAATAAACTGAAATCTCTCTTCTTGTTCATGCCATCCTGCAGCTGTAGAGTTGCCCTCTGCTTGCTGTTTATGGGGATCATGCCTACTGAGTCATCCTTTCACAATTAAAAAGAGATAATAAAGTCAGAATACAATGCCAAAATAACATAAAAAGCATTAAATAAACAAACCAACAAATAAAAAGGACATGTGTTAAGAGAAAAGAAAAGAAAAGAAAAGGACAATCCAAGAAATAACATTGAGAGCAAACCTGTAAATAACATTGACGAACTATGATAAGTTGTTCTGACTCATTAACTACAACATGTCTTGGGACCATAGTTACTACTTGTGATGGTATAACCACTCTACTCAAAGGTGGTCCCGTGGAAACCCCAAGCTTTGTAATATATTTGACTCCAGATCCTTCCTCGACCTCCAAGCTTATCTCCGCAAGGCCTGATAAAGCATCCAAGTCGATCAGTGTCTCAGATGCATTATCTTCTAGCAATTTGAGACACACTTTGTTGGGTCTGAAAACAGAGGGCACATAAGATGTCCATAAGGCAATGACATAAAGGGATACCTGTAAAAATCATGCAATTAAAAAAATACATTAACAATTATTTATCTTACTTTAAGAACCATGATCTGGTTGTCTTTGGAGGCAAATATGATCCAAACTCTGGAGGAATGCCCGAACCATAGTTCTCTGCTTCATCCCTGCACATAATTTATGGCTATCAAGTAGGCAAGATAGAGAAGTGCTCATCAATATAGAGGGACGGAGGGACTACCTAGAAAGAGGCCTCTTATTAGGCACATAGAAATAAAGGGTAAACTCTGTGTCATTTCTCAGGGAATATGATGTAAAGATAGCAGCCTGCAAATGGGATATAGAGATTAAATCCAACAAGATATGAACCAAACAAATTAGCCATATGATTAGCATACGTGTGCAGAACTCATACAGCATGCAGAACTTTAAATGAACAAATCCAAAATGTGTGTAATGCCTCTGTTTACTAGATGTACATCACGAATATAGTAGAAACTGACAGCCATTGCATAACAACCTCTAATGTTCCCCTGTTCCCTCGAGACAATCTTAAGGAAGCAAAATACTTTCCCCCACCAAAATCCAGATCAATGTCCAAACAAGGGACATCACTTTTCTGCTTCTGTAACTTCTTGATCCAGTCACTGCTGTTCACTGGTCTGCAGCTTGAATTATAAGCAGTCAAAGTAACAGTAAAGTAAATTATGGAAGGATTGGCATAAAATTCGACCATTGAACCACATGATATGGTTGATTGATTCCTGTCGTTGTCAGACCCAACAGTGTAACATCGATCTGCACTGGGCCAAATAATGTAACTCAGAAGCTGTAGAGTAAAATAACTAATGATAATCCCAGAAGACTCCCTTTGCTTACCTGATTCACTTAAAAATACATGTACCTCCGTGTGCAACAAATTGGATACGCGTACTGTAGGAAGAAGATAAATATCCTTTTGCTCTTGAAATGCAACTGGTGATTTGTTATTTTCGAGGACATCTGTAGACCGATTAGGTTGTACAACAGGAACATTTCTCCCAATACTTTGAACCAGAAAATGCATGTCAGAAATTCTGGCTCCTTCAGATTTAAGGGTACACTGTGCAGTGCTGAAGGAACATTTCACCGACTCTGTAAACAAAGCATTCCGCACTCTGTAGCTTAATCTATCAAAAATTCCAGAGAGACGAACTGCCTTTCCACCTTTAAGATCATCTGACCATTCCACTGAAAGTGAATTCTTGGAAGTCATTAAGCCATCTGGAATTTCAGGTCTAAAAGACAACAAGAAGTTACCTGCATATCAGTCACCATGAAGTTTTCAGGGCAATAGTAAGCATCAAACAAGATAATGAAAAAAAGAATGTGGAGGAAACATTGCATGTCCTAGCTGTTGGACTATAGATCAGAGGAAAAGAGCAATGGCAACAAAATATATTATGCCCTTAGTAGGTTAACATGTCTATATATACTTTTAATAGCTAGAAAAAATCTATTGGCATCAAGCTTAACACTCAAAAAGAACCAGTTAAATCAGACCAGATACCATATTTCTATTCTGACCAACAAAAAAAAAGAGTCCGCATTTCTGCAGCTAGATTAGAAATAACAGAATAACACTGTGATTGGCCTCACAGGAGCCTAACTTTCCAGGTAAGGTTGCAGTCTGATTATGAGGGCTGTCACTTTATTCTTCCCTTGAATTAAGCGAGAGTTGTTAAACGATATATGCAGCATAATATTCGTAGAAAGCATTGTACTACTGCCCATAGATGAGAGGAAAACCAACACAGACACAGTCAAAAAGTTTGCCTCCATTAACTAATTATTTATGATTCAAAAGTGGTGTAAGACAAAAGAGTTATACAGTTAAGACTAACTGATTGACATTATGCATTTAATACCAAACTTTTGAAGATGCTCATGATAATGATGATTATGGAGGCATGCTAGCTAAGAAATATATAACACATGGACTAAAGTAGAAAGAAAATGAGATTCTGATTTAATTAAAATAACTGACATTAAGAACACATACCAAGACCTAAAGACATCAGTGCCTTCTTTCTTCCACCAGAAAGATTTAGAGCATCAAACATGGCCATGGAGTCATCAATTGTATCACCTGCATTTAGCATCACTGAAGCAAACTCATCTTCCTTCTGCTGAGCTCGTCGAAATCGTAGCTCCATAGGGAATCCAGTTTCATTATGTATTCTTATCAGAGGAGAAATAACAATTGACAAACCATCCTACAAACAAACAGAAACTAATAAGCAAAAAAGAAAATATAATCAAAATAATGTGAGCATCTCTATTATGAACTCAAGGAAAAGCAGAATAATCAATGAAAATACCTCAGATTTTCTTGAAACATCAACAACAACAAATGGTCCAGGGAAAGTTTTTGAATCTGTTCAAGAAGGAAAAGAAGAAGAAAAAACAAGGAAAATGTAAATTCAAGGACAAGAAACTTAAAATGGAATTCTGAAATTATCACCAACTAGGAAACTCATTTGTTATTCAGTTCAAAGTTGAATTGTTTCTCATTTCTTTTAATAAAATTTGAATTTCCAAAAAGAAAGAAAAAAATAGAAAACTAACATTAAAAAATTAGTTAGTTGGTGCAAATTTTGAAACTAAGCCAATTGGATTAAGAATGCAAGGAAGTTCATCATAATCACATAAAGCTAATGCCTTCGACCAATCTTAGCCTAACTCTGTCCAGTAAGTTTGATATTAGAGTACTTCTTTGATGAATTGGCTTTATCCATAAAAACTTCCGCATCTGGTAAAATTAATGCATACAAACGCACTTGTACGTAAGTATGACCAACCCATTCATATTTTCTACATTTCAGAAAACTTTAGAAGCGTATTTCATTTCACCAAAAACCTTGTAGAATTTCCGTCCACTATGTCCATCAAGTTTAAGAATTTATTCTCCACCTTTAGAATTTATTTGACTTCAAGAACCAACTTTATAACCAACTTGGACAAATGAAAGGAGAAAGAGAATTCAATTCCATTTTACTAAGAAACATAAAAGTTCAGGCCGTATCCATATGCTCGTAATAATAATCAAAGCTACTTTATTTCAATTAATGTATGACGGTCATTCATATAGTTTGTTTTAAAATTCATAAATTATACATTTCCAAATACTCTAGAAGCATATTTCACTTCACCAACAACCTTGCAGAATTTCCATCCACTATGTCCATTAAGTTCAAGAGTTTATTCTCCACCTTTACAATTTATTTGACTTAAAGATCGAACTTTATAACCATTTGCACAAAAATATAATTTGATTCCTTCTACTAAGACAACATAAAAATTTCAGGCTGTATCCATAGGAGAGAATAGAGCATACCTTGAAGTGACGTTATTTGCGTTTTCCAAGCAACTACTTGAGCTTCTATGAGAGAGACATCAATTGATTTAGTCACAAAAGATCTAGGAACTGCAAGTTGGATTGAAACAACTGAAGCAATCTCTGGAGGTTGATTTGCCAAATCCGAGCACCTTACAGTTAAGTAATAAATAAGATCAATCATTTTCTTTTTGGATACAATCCCAACTTGATTAATAAAACAGAAGAAAATCCAAGTAAGATGGATGGATGAGAAGTCCATCAAATCTAGTTCAACAAAGTCAACCAATAACACATAATAGCACCCCAGAAGAATTAGACTAAAAGGAATGTCTTTAAAATGCTTTGACAAATAAGCATAAGGGAGAATTAGACTATCTCAAAAAAATAATTAGGATCAGTCAATTTATCACATATATTTAAAATACATTGACATGAATGCAGACCAAAGTTTGCGTAAAAAGACCCTATAAGCTAAATTTAAGACTTTCCAACAATTAATAAACTTTTGATTAATTGACTTAACTATGTGTTCCTAACGTCTTATTTCGTGGTGCAAGATATCAAGAAAATTAGAAGCGATAACATATGTCAGCCTGTGTCCTGAGCAATCCCATTACTTCACCATTGAAGTCACAAGCAATTCCGAAAATAAGCACACAAAACAGTTCAAAATTTAATTAAAACGTAATCAACTTCATACAATAACCTAATCAGTGTTCTAAAACATGAAAAAGCATAGAGCAAGGCGTTGTATGTCCAACAAGACGAGGCGTAAGCCTCAAAGTGTTGAGGTAGAAGCTTTTTGAGACTCAAAATTTGTATAAGAAAAAAATACATAGAAAAACCAATTGAAAGACAATCTCTCCTGCTTGTCATCCAGCCCTTCTTTTCTTTCAAAAATACATATCAAACATTTTAGAAATTGCCATCTTCACGCCCTCACACCAGAGCTAGTCGCTCTGCTATCATTCGTGCAGGTACGGTTCTCTCTCTGCCCCTCTCTCTACCTCCCCCTTTCTCTCTCTCTCTCTCTCTCTCTCTCTCTCTCTCTCTCTCTCTCTCTCTCTCTCTCTCTCTCTCTCTGAGAATAGTATACTCATTCTCTCTTAATAGTCTATTCATTGTCAACCAGTGATTCAGAGACTGATCTCACCAGATCTCCCTCAAGATTTCGCCACTAACTGATGGGTTCTTTAGATTTGGGAAACTTGGGTTTTATGGGTTTCTCGGTTCGAAAGAGAACTGTTGCAGTGATGCATTGGGTGGGTAAGGGAAAAATCTGCTTAGCCCACATAGTGTAAGCATCATGGAAAAAATATAAGATATGTAGCAACGCATACACTACATTGAAAAGCATACACTATTCGGGAAAAAGACTGAATGCGCTACGCCAAAAGCAGCCACCACCACGCTCTAAGGTGCACCGGACCCACTATTTTTTTAAATATGGAACCTAATTACTTGATTTGCCTCCATTCAAGACTTCAATGATAAGGCAAAATTAACATTGATGTCTAGCATACCAAAAGCCAAACTTCACCCATGCAAAAGGATTCACATGACCAGTATTGCATGCCTTAAGAATGCTAAAGCAATATTAAATTTATAACATAAGTGCCACACCCCATGTAAACTCATCATATCAACTTTCGAAATGAGAAATGTTTGATACATTCTGCATCTAGTTTACTGGAGATTCAGAACTTTCTCATTAATATAGAGCTCAAAACATGGTACACTATCATTAGAAAATGGAAAATTTTGTTATGATATGTCATCTGATTCTGCCTTGAAAATGTGGATTAGTATAATTCATATTACGATGAGCTACCTTAAAATAACAGATGCAGACTGCATTCTAGAAACTGTTACACTTTGCTTGTCAAAGAAGTGACAGAGAAGGTCTGATCCTGACTGGTTCACCACCTGCCAGTGTAGAAAATTTGTAATAAAAGCCACAATCAGGATTGGATTTATTGCAAGAAACTACAACAACAACAAAAAACTATAGAGGGAGGGGAGCAAAGTAAAGAGAGGGAGGGCAGCAAAGCAGAGAAATGACGAACAGAAAACTCCACTTCAATGACAAGATATTGTTTGTGAAGTCAACAATAATTTATAAATAAGAGCTACTTACAAAAGATACAATAAAAGTTCAAACCAAAGCCACTACAAACGAAGGACCAGTTATATGTGGCACCAATAGCAACACCTATTCCATTAATAATGTTCTAAAGGTATCCCCTAATGGTAACATGAACTTATGAAGTCTGTGATTCCAGGAAATTAAATGTAAATGCTAAGCTCTCAGACATATTTGATCAGACATCTTAAATTCTCTACATGCAGTAGGACAAATTCCATATCAATATCCAAATTCCCGACCCACACTACTGCCTATCACTAGTAATCCAAATGGAATTTGTATATAAATTCATGAACAATGAGGTTGATGGTTTATTAACCAAAGCATCTGGCTACTAGCAATTCATCAGAAGATTTATCAATTGGACTCCATTGGGACTCATGGGCTGCTAACCATAACAATAAGTTACCCAATAATTCACAGCCTCCCAGAAATTTTTTACACTCACTTAGTACGACCATATGTGAGCAGATGTCAGTTCATGAAATTTAGGCAAAAGATTAGACAACACAAACATATTAACTGTAACATGTTGATAAACTAGGATCTCGCTCTCATAAGGCAGGTGATTGGCATAGAAACGAAAACTATTCTCCACAAGATACATGCAGGCCGGACCATGGATGCATATGAAATTCATAGTTATTGCATATTGACATATAAGCAATAGTTACAAGCACAGTGGCAAACCTTGCAGCAATTGGCCCAAATCTTATTGCTTCTCACTGAATAAGGACCAGCTAAATTTAATTTCCCAATCACAAAGAGAAGTATGTCCAGTGAAAGCTCGGAAAGGGATATATTCAACTGCAAATATTCCATATGAACACTTGGTTAAAATCTGGATATACATAGGCAAAAGGGTGCTTACTTCGCCTCTGTTTTCTTTGTTTCATTGTATGGGTCCTTAATGACAAAATCATTCAAGAAACCAGAATCTTAACCTCTTTAGTTCTGCAGTGGATATGAACAGGTACTCCATGCGAAACAGCTTGTGATCCCTGAAGTTGGAAGCTAGAACGATAGAAAAGGCATACTTCAACTGGGTGGAGAAGTTCTCTCCTACATTTCAAAAACAATAGAGGAAATGTACTGTAAGCTAACCAAATACAGAGTAAAAGCAACCCATTACAAAATAATAGAATCTGTACAACTTTATTCAGCATAAATACTCACCATAAGTTTTTTTGTGCATCAAAGTAATGTAGCACTGCAGTTGACATGCTTATAACCCTAGTTTTAGAAAGGAGAATTTGGACAGTAAGTTTGGTTTGGTCAATACAACCACAAAGGAGAGGAAACATGTCTTCTGTATGTACAAGTTCATGGAAAATGGTCAAAGAAATTTTGTCAAAAGTAACATCAATGCAAGGGAGTTTTCCACTTCTCACAGAAGTGTTCCCGTCATCTCTGAGTGCATCACGTTGCAGACTAGTTCCAGATGCCTCCCCAGGGTAACTATCCATCTTTATGTCACGAGCTACAGAAGCATTATGGAACACTTTCAACTTGAATGGATTTCCAGGCTTCCTAACAAACTCTGGAATTCCATCTACAAAAGCAACAGCAGAGTCACTCTTCTTGTTCAAAAGGTAAAAGGTCCTTTGAACCAATTGAATGTTGGGCTCCCAGTCAATGTCACCCTCAGAATTCTCAGGCTCACAAGAAATTGCTTTCCAAAGTGCCCACCCATTATCATTAGCGCTAGATAAGTCAACAAAACCAGATCCTGGACGGTAGTTCAAGCGCAATGGCTCCCCTAAATCATTCTTAGCATACAATGATATCAAGGAGAACCACGAAACTGATGACTTCCATCTCCCTTGGTTGTGATACTTGACCTACACATGAATTTCAGTAGAGATGGCACATATCATGTAGCAAAACCATAAAGATAAAGAAGAGAAATCAATAAATAGAACCAAAAAGTTGTATCAAAGCTGAGTAGTCAATTGCATAATGTCATAATTGTTTAGTTAAAATCTTCATTTGTAATAACTCTTTTTCAGTTTTTTTCCTTTTTTGGGTAAGGCTTCATTGATTACTTGATGTCATGCTACTTAATCTATCACCTCTTGTTTCTACGCTGCATTTGTCAGTCATTCAACCTTACAAATTGTATCTATCTTCCCACCTTCTGCCCTTAATTTTTTTCTTCTTTTATATCCTTACCATTCACCAGCTTTATCAGTGCTTATATATTTCCTATAATTCACATTCATATGACTTGTTTGTTCCGGCCTAGCACAATGGCTATCTCGACCTCTATAAGGATACATTACAGTATCCTTGATAAAATAACTCAAACTTAGGACCTATATTTACAGAAAAACAAAAACAAAAAAAGACCCAAAAAATAGGGCAAAAGCCACATAGCCGAGCATCCCATCCAGATAGTGAATGCACATAAATTATCAGGTTTCCCTCTCAAAATACAAAACTAGGAGAACGACCAGAAATTTGTGATTTTGGTATCAGTATTTTGAACATGCTTGGAATATAATATTTTAGTAACAAACTAGCTGCAAACCCATATCATTATGCAGAGAGCTACTTAGAAGTACATATTTAAGTACACTTTCTTTCTTTTTTACTTTTTTGAAAATTAGTATTCATCGTGATCTAGCCAAAGAAATGTGAAGTGTCAAAAATACCATACCCTGAAAAGAGCCCTTTCTCCAACAAGAGAATAATGAACTACACCCACTAAATTGAACTTATTCTCCTCGCCCTCAACGGTGAAGTACATGTGTTGATGGATATCCTGAATTGCAACTATTGCACCTATACAGAGTAAAATATTTGTTAATCAAGTCCTCTCAGATCTGCAAGCAAGAGATGCTTTGCATCTTGGAAAGCTGTATACCGTTAGGAATCATCGTCTCCAAACTGTTTTTGAATTCCTCATTACTTGACTGGTGCCTTCTATCCGGTTCACTGATCATCTCCTCTTTGAATACCCCAGAGAAAGATGAAATCATAGACAAGAGCATCTAAAAAAAAAAAAAAAAAAAAAAAAAAAAAAAAAAAAAAGAACCAGAGTAGACACAGTGACTTAGCAATCGTAAGGCACAAACAAGGTAATCACATGTTTTAATACTAGACAATGCAATAGCAGGATGAACCCATTTTCTAAAATAATATATCAAATTTAGAAAGAACCAGAGAAATATAGACTTGCTCACCTGTATTTCAGACAGAGATATTGTAATATCAAAACATGATATAGATCCACTTCCAACCCAAACCTCGTTTAAGCACAAAGAATCATTTAAAGGCTTCTCAACTGATATGACGGCACCTGCATGCTTCAGGATATAATTCTGATGAATTGGACGGAAGGCCTCAGGCAGAGAATTATGTACAGAAAACTCTTCTTGTGGTCCAGGATCTCTTGAACAGCTTGCATCATTAACAGGGTGAATCCTATCCCCATGATGAGAAAATTCAGCAGAACCTCCAGATACAACATCAGACGGAAAAGCATTTGATGTGACAGAAGAAAAATGAGGAATTTGGATTTCATTTTCCACAATTTCTTGAAAGGCCTGAGAAAGGATTGACATGCGAGAAAGATCAAATACGAGTTTTCTTCTCATGTTTGTCACTTGAAAGTTCAAATGGAGATCAACCTCAAGCACAAGTTCCTGCATACCACCTGCAAACATAAACTAACTGTTTACATACATATATAGTAATTCAGCATCTGTAACATACAGTGGAGAACAGATGCATATACCATGTTCGTCTTCAATCATAAGAACACAAGAAAAATGAGAAATATTTAAGATGAAAGCTTCCATCTGTGTGATTTGGGCCTGTTGAGATGTACAGTGAGTCTCTTGCATATACTCCTGAACAGAATGATCATTTGGTCTGGTTGTATCCACAGATATTTCAGCTTCTTCGATGCGTTCATCAGATGATTGTAAACCAGATAAAAGATTTGTGAAACAATGAAGATACGAAGCAAAACAGTTGACGAAGGTAGCCAAAGCTGTTATTTCAAGGAAAAGAAAACCACCCTGGAAAAATTACCAGATTTCCATTACTGGAAAAATTAGAAGAATTGATTGCTTAAATTAGAAATACAAGGACTCAACTGAAACTTAATCCAAAGTTAAACGAGTAAAATGTATTTAAACCCAAGACGTATAAAGAAGACCATTGATCCCTCTCTAATTCACACAAAAACAAAAATAAAAATATCACCTGAATTCCACAACAGATTGTTTGAAATTCACCACCAACAGAAAGTGATGACAAAAACGTATTTAGCTGATGTGCCCCATTCATAACATTCTTTGCTGAGTACCTTCCCATATAAATGTTACCCAACACAACATTTATCAGTAACCAATGACCTGAGCCCAGTGGTGGTACATTTGAAGCAAATTCTATATCCTGAAGAAATCTACAGTCCTGACCATTTGAACTTTCAGAATTAGTGGTGAATGGAAGATTTTCCACGTGCACTGTTTTACCAACAGAAGTAGAGGTACCAGGTGCATTGCTAACATTATCTGAAGATAGGTAATTCTGAGAGAGGGACAGTGAAAAATTGAATACAGAACTAGAAAGCGACAGTTCATATAAGCAATCAAAAGATTGCAATAGCAGATCACTATGATCATTACTTTTTCCCTTCTGATTCTTATATCTAAAAATTACAGACTGGATTTCTGATAAATTAGAAAGAACTTTCACTTTTCCTTCCTTCCAAGATAAATCAGCAGTTGTTTGGTGAATTGAAATTGAAATTCCAGTGTCAGGCAAGTCATGCTCAGCTAACTTTTTGCTACTTGAAACATCAGAGTTTCCTACAGAACTGTCCACATTACCACTGATCCTGGACTTGTGAAGAATTATAGCCACTGACTTGATTTTGAAGGTCCCATTAATTGAAAATAGGGAATTGCTATAATTCAAGGGAGCTCCATGTGCAGTTGTCTCCGCATTCTCAGGTTCAGAAATTGCAAATTCTTGCTTCGCAAACTTAAAAGGCAAGTAACTAATAGACCCAAAACTGCTAAATGAATATGATATCGCAGAAGATAAATTTTCAAGCACCTGTCAGAAAGAAAAATGGTATGAATGAAATCAACATATATCACAAACAAGTATTGACCAAATAATTCAAAAACTCATCCAGCTCCCAAATTATGGGTCCTTCGGAATAACAGTAATCATCATCACAAGTACAAACAACAGCAAGAAGGCAGCAGTTGACGAGGTGCAATGAAACAACAGTGACAACAAGAATACTACTTTAACAGGATTAAGGTACAAAAGGAACCTGAAAGCAACAAAAATAATGTTACTAACGAAATCGAACTTGAACACAAGAAAGATACCTCAACATACCCAACATCAAAATAGTCTCCTAATTAAGTAAAGGTGACCCGTCTATAATTTTATTTTACTTTTAAAGACGAACGAAGTCTAAAATGGGTACATTCAGTATTTTAAAAAACTAGGAAAACTGTATAATAATCGGTTCTAAACAAATATTCACAAACATTAATATCAAGACTAAAAACACAAATTTATTAGTAAGCAGCAAACAAGCGCAATCACCTGAAAGAAAACATAAAACTCATCTGCATATGATAAAATAGTGAATCCTTCAGCTGTCCCACACAAAGCTGCTGAGAAAGCAATAACACTTGTGCTAAATGAATGAACATACTCCCTGCACAACAAAATAATTCACTATCATGACAAGACAGATAATTTAGTCAGCAGGCTATGCAATTGTATTCTCTTCTGGATGTGATGGGTGGGGGAAATAAAGGAAGAAGGTTCTCTGTTTCACCACATTTGTTATGATCTTCAAAAGTCTCACATACAAGGAAAGGAAAGTAAAGAAAAAGAGTAAAAAGCATTTTCACCTTTAGAAGAATTCGAAACATTAAGAAAATATTAAAAGAGGAAGAAGAAAAAACAAGACAACGTTCGTATAAATAAAATCCTCAATGCACTTCAGAATTTAATGAAATTGATATACTAATAAAGAATGTGAAAACCTTAGATTAACACTGGTGAGCAAAAGATTTAGCCTAAAGGAAATTCATAAATAAATAAAAACCATAGGAATTCACCTTCTCTGTGTGAAGGATTTAGAGAATATAAAATATTAAGGGAAAATAAGCTGTAAAGTTCAATAGAGCAACCATCAAAAACCTCTCTGAAAAAATTGGATAAAAGAGTGTGTGAGATAAAGCTATCAAAGCTCCAGGAGAACAAATATAACGAGAAACGAAGCAATAAAATCCTACCTGAAGGATAACAAACGCACAGTGATTGGCTTCAAACCTAAAATTTGGCTTTGTCTTTTTCCTGCTGAGTCGACCAGGTAAACCTCTAAACCACCAACTCGTAAGTAAGAACCAAGAGAAATCCACTCCTGACATTGATACTTCCCACTATCTGATTTAAACATATCGACTATTAGAGGCTGCTCCAACCTGAGGCACTCTGGTTCTATATCATCAGGTCCTGAGGGCGCCACAAATGATTCCATATCAAATTGGGAAGTTGGCCAAACTGCAGCTTCAATGTTGCAAAAATCAAATGCAAGGTGAAATTCCTCCTGACCAACTTCATGGTTTATGTCTTTGTTTCCAGCATCAAAATTCTTTCCCAATGAAATATGAATGTGAGGACCAGCTGCAAATATCCCTAGTTGAATATGTTTCTCTGGAAGTATCTTAAGCAATGTCATTTCTAATTTACTCGCATAGCACCTGTATTTGTTATCCTCACTAGCTCTTGGAGAATGTGACAGAACCCCTGATTGACCATTGTCCTCTGTCCAGAACAGAGCATGCTGTATTTGCTTAAAGAGCAGCGATATCGATAGTATCGACGAACATCCCAAAACTATGTTCAACTTTCCTAGAGTCAAAAAGAATTTCAAAAACCCAGAATCTGAATTTTTGAGGTCTGGATATGTCAAGAAGTTTTTAATTTCACACAGAAGGAATGGATTTTCAAAGTACTGGATCTCACTTTTTTCAAATTCCTTGCAAGCTGTGTTCCAGTTCAACCACATGTCTCCAAGAAAATTTTTCAGAAGTGAGAGACAAGCACCTTCCACATGATCGGCATAACCAGTTTTGTAAGTTTCTGAAAGGGGAAAATTTTGTGCTGGCTCAGCCCACAAAATATTCTTCAAATCATCATTACTCTCCTTCCAATGTGCTTCCATAGAACTAAAATATGATTTTGAGCTGCTTTCCTTAACAGTAGCTTCCAAAAGAGATGAGGATCTAACCTTTAACTGCCCACAGGATATAAGTACAGACTGTTCACACGTGTTTTCTACATATTTTAACAACAGTGAATCAACTGAAAGACGAAATGAAAGGAAATCCGAGCAAGAGGTCCCAATATGGGATTCTAATTTCTCATTTACTGCAAGTTGAATTTCATTTATATGAGAAATAGTGATTAGAACATTTCCAAGGATCAAAATGAAGCAAAACTCTGTACATGGACCTCCAGAAACAATCTTCAAATTCACTTTTTTTGGCTCTTCGGCCAATACTTTCCTAAAAGTTAACAAGTGTATGATAAAGTGGATTATCTTGCACAAAACTCTCCAGGTACAGGCTAGTATGAAAAGGATCTTGAGAAGGAAGTTGAAGTGAAATGTCACAAATGATTTTCTTAAACCATCTTTGGCACATTGAACATTTGATGCTGCTCTATGACGCGCTATTCTCCACGCCTGTGCAATAGCTTCAGCAGGCAACTCTTTCTCAATATCAGAAATCACCTTCATTTGGTTTTTAACAGAACTGAAAAACATCTTGTCCTGTGAAATTCTAGTAGCTGATCTCTTCAATGAGTGGTCATCAGAATATCCAATTAGTAACAGTAAATGCTCATAAGCATTAACATAACGTAGCCATAAACAAACAACAACAACTAATTTTTGCAACGACCGTCTAGGGCCTGAAGTCACATTGTCAATTCTGCTTGCAGCTAGTTTCCATAGTTGCACAGCATTTCTTGAACAATGAGATTCTTGTGATGATGCTTTACCAAATGCTGAATAGAAGAAAATATCATCCGGAGAAAATGAAAAACGTAATTCTGGAATTCCAAGACTTATGTCCACAAGCTGAAGGTCATTCAATTTAATGCAAGTGCACAAATCAGACAATAACAAGACGTGTTTGAGCTGATGTGCCCTCTTAAACCCAACCTCAAAACCACTGCCTACTAGAGTAAAAGAGATCTCTTTCAAAGGTAGAAAGAGTGCACCAAATAGGCCTCGAAGAAGACACCCATGATCAAGATACTGAGGATCTGCATTAATATCTTTTAAATTCAACAAACAAACAAGTGAATCATTTAAGATGGGAACCTGCACTTGCACATTGATGTCATGCATTCGAAGCTGGCAGTGTTTAAGTATCAGATTGCAAAGGGTTGTCCTAAAGTTATTTGTTGAAGGAGAAGTGGCCAAGAGCTTTTCGAGAACACCATGCAAAGCACTACCCTGAATTCCAGTGAAAAGCCTTAGGGGTTGTATTGGAGATTAACGGTTCATCAGTCAAGTAAGCAAACAAGTTTTCACCTATCTACATGTGATAAGAGCGAAAATTTGAGATTAAAAACACTAACAACAACAATGCCTACCTCAGGATCAATCTCAGAAAGCTTCTTCTTCATATCTTCTGCAAATTTATCCCTCGGTTTCGGCCTACGTTCTACATTTCTCTCTTCCATCAATTCCCTTTCAATATGAAAAAAGAAGGGAAAAATCAAGCTCGCAAAAACCAAACAATGCAAAGAAGAAAAATAAAAATTGAACACAGGCGGGCAAGCAGGAACAGTGACTTACCCAGGTGATAGTGTCACAGTGACGCCTTGAAATTCGATTGAAAAGGCAGGGACGAACCAGTTCGAGAACCGAACGGTCAAGTGTTCGACAGTGACCTCTTTGAAGGAAAACTGGGACGATTCGTCGAAGAGCTGGTTGAGAACCGAAGTATCGAAGCGGAGGTTCTTGGCGACCGCATGGGAATTGAGAAGCCCTAATTTGAGTTCGAGGTCGGGCTCTTCTCGAAGCCATGGCCGTAGCAGAGAGGCTAGCTTCCGTCGGGTTACGTTGTTCAGGAACATCTGTGATTATGTTGTTATCTGACTCCAGGAGATGAGTGCTTTAGGGTAATCGTAGTTCCGCCATTAGAGAATTCGGAATTTTCTCGAGAAACAAACGGAAAATATTTGGCCTGACAAGGTGAAGTGAAGATTGTCGATGAGAGGTGCGAGTGTATCGGCGGGAAATTGAACTGAATCGGACAGCTTCTTCTTTATAGTCAGTTGGGCTTGGGCTTACTCGGAACCGGCTAGAAAATCAAACTTGCCTTGATGAAAAAGAAAATTTATTATAATTAAGAAAAAATATTATCCTTGATGAAAAAGAAAATTTATTATAATTAAGAAAAAATAATAATATTTTTTTGTCCATTGTGATAAAATCTTATTATTCTTTTATTTTTATATTATAATAATTATTTTTTTGGTGAAATTTTTTATAATTACTTTGAATACTCATCTAAGTATATCTATATATAAAGGAAAATACAGAAAATGGTGAAACATTCAAAATACCAAAAAATACCTTTGGTTAATTCAAACATTAAGAATTGAAATTATTAATTAAATGAGGATAATATGGTAAATTCACATTTTTTCATATTAAAAAAAAAATCATATAATAGGTCATACTTTTATGGAACATAACTACGCATGTTATCTTTTCTTAATTCTAAAAATAAAATAAAAAATGAAATCAATTGGCACATGCTCACGCATGTGCCAAAGGGCGTATTCAATTAGGATTAGAGCGTTTAAAAATATTTTGTTTAAGTGCCTGTTTTCATAGAACTTGATGGAACTTTATAATTCGTATAGAACTTGATAGACTTTCAGTAGACTTCTGTATAATTTTTTAATAAAACTTTCTTAAGCTTTCATAGAACTTGATAGGCTTTTATTTTAGACTTATGTAGACAATATATTTCATTTTATCCCCATCCTTGCCATTTAAAGAAAGAAACTTGAATTTTTTCAATCAAATTTGTTTTTGTTACCCAAAGCAAAAACAAAAAGTACTTGTTTGCGATGGAAGATCATATGCACAGTTCAAAATGAAAAGAATAATCCAAGAATGTTGTGTCAAATATGCACAGTACTTTTTGTATGCACAGTACCTATTTGAACAGTACTTTCAATGTTGTCAACGTAACATTGATGTATATAAAAAAGATGAAATAAAATTTTAAACAACATGAAATAAAAAACCAAATTCATAACATCTTTTCCTTCAACAACATTAAATAAAGTACTTCAGGAGCAGTGAATTTCTTTGTGGTTGGATCCCACCCAAACCCAGAGTTGTGACGGAGAAGCTGTGAATATTTTTGGTATTCTCTTTTAAAGTACTTCAACCGACTATGGTATTGAGAATAGGTTTTGTGACACCTAAGTTTTTCATTAATCTTGGGGAGTATTTTGGTTTCTATAGTTGCCTTGCTTAGCATTCCATTAGCATCACGCCATCCATGGCTTGCAACATTAACCATGAGTTGCAACAACATTCTACTCTCTTCCACAATCCAAGCATTATAATCTTGTTTACTCTTCCCTTTTCCATTTACTTGTTGTGTATTTTCAACTCCATTTGAGTGCAACTATGAATTTTATCATGTCAATCACAAAATACAGCATAAAAAATTTACAAAAAATGTACATCAGCAACCATAGATCAGACATGACACATCTTATGTTGAATGGAAAAATGACACAATAGGAATTTACAAATTTGGCGTCCGAACTCCGATTAAGGTGTATGATACCTTTCTGAAAAGGGAACGATGTCACGAGTCAAACTCACAGCTTTACTGTGTTATATGGTGGATTTTGGGCTTTTGAGGACATTTAGGCTTTCAAAACAGCATTTAAAAGTTGAAATTTTTGTATTTTCATTTTTTTAATGTTCATCTATATTTGTCTCATTTTTTTGTTCGATTATAGAAAGGTTGTCAATTATTTCAATTAACCAGTAGTAACAAGCATAAACCATAGTAACAATCATAACCCTAATAACAAGCAAAACACGATGAAGAAAAAATCATGGAAAAAGAAAACCCAACGAGGCATTGATCAAAGAAAAAATAGGGAGCATACCTTCACAGATGGAGGAAGGAAGCTGTTCGTCTTCGTAGAGAGAAAAGCTAGAGCAAGAGAAAAACGTATGATGAAAAACTTTGGGGGGAGATTGGATTTATTTTGGTCTTTGGTATTTATAACTCTCCCCTTAAAACCTATGAAAATTTATCACTTAATGAAATCCTTCCAAATATATGACCTTTCGAATACACCTATATTTGATTAAACTTTTTTATAATCCTAATTGAATACACCCATATTTGAATGGACTTTTTAAAAGTTCATATAAGTCCGATTAAATACACTCAGACTTGTAAAACCTCTTTTAAAGTTTATATAAATCCAAATTGAATACACCCGGATTTTTAAAATCTTTTTAAACGCTTTATAATCCTAATTGAATACACCCCCCTAAAATACAAAACCTTAAGCAACATAGATGCTCGAGTTTGCTCTAACAATAATAAATGTAAGGTTCAATATGGAAATCTCAATCAATAAGCAATTTTCTTCCTTAATTAGGTGTACACATCCCTCCAATAACTAATCATAGACACTATTGTTTTGGGCTCTATCGTTATTAGATTAGGGTTCTTGTTCGTTCGTTGGAGAATATTTGAGATATTTATTTAAAAATTCATTTTAACATGACATATTATAAATAAAAAAACTCCTATTTTTAGCATATTTTTAGCATATTTTTAGCATGACTCTAGGTTTTTCCCTATTTGCCACATATATCCTATTTTTATCCAGCACTTTTCCCACAATAATGATCCAAGCACGATGATGGCGGACCAATTTTGGTCCATTGACCAAGTCAAAGGCCAACTTCTACTTTTACCTTTTTCTTCTTAACCGCCCTTTTTTCTGTTGCTCCCGTTCCTGGTGGCGGGTATTATCCAAAATTAGATTTACGACCTGAGCCAGCTTGTTGCCACCTAAGCTCCTTAGGACACAACATTAATTTTTACTACCACAAATCACACAACAGTCCTACGTGGTGTCACCTGATTGGCCATCTCCTCATCCACAATTACCATGCAACAAAATATCCGGGCTCAAACGTGCGCAGCAAATCCAATTTTTTCCCTTCGATTTTTCAACTAAAAACTGAAAAAACAGCAAAAAAGGGAAAATCCCAGGCTGTTGCTATTCCTCAGCTTTCAAAGCTGTCGGCTTCCTTCACACCTGGTTTTTCCTCTTTATTATTTTATTTCACCCTATATGTAAAGGATGAAAGGCTCATCAAGAGGTAACCGCATATTCTCCGAAGAGAACAGCATTCGTGGCCAGAAGTTCGACAAGTTGCAGAACTCCCCGGAGCATAACGACTCCACTTTTACGATCAGTAGCCCCCCAGACTACGGCCCGGATTACTTAATGGGCGCAGAGGAGGCGGCCCCAGCGTCTCCTCTCAAAAAGTCCCCGTGGTCCGCCCACATGAACATTAGTGACGACAAGAATAATAGTAACGACTCTTCAGACGAGAGCTTCTCGCCCAACGTGCTCATGGGCTCGTTGGTGCGCGAAGAAGGGCACATATACTCGTTGGCCTCCTCTGGAGACTTATTGTACACGGGTTCGGATAGCAAGAACATTCGAATTTGGAAGAAGCACCACGAGTATTCGGGGTTCAAGTCGAATAGCGGCCTGGTAAAAGCGATCATCATAGCTAGGGAGAAGATCTTCACCGGTCATCAAGACGGGAAAATTAGGGTTTGGAAGGTGTCCTCCAAGAACGCAAGCAATCACAGGCGGATAGGAACTTTGCCAACGTTGAAGAATTACATAAAGTGTTCCATGAAGCCAAGTAATTACGTGGAAGTGAAACGCAATAGTAAAATCCTATGGATCAAGCACTTTGATTCCATCTCATGCTTGAGCTTGAGCGAAGATCAGACGTTGCTTTACTCGGCCTCCTGGGACAAGACGTTTAAGGTTTGGAGGGTTTCAGATTTCAAGTGCTTAGAGTCAATTACCGCTCATGACGATGCAGTTAATGCCTTGGTTGTTGGATTCGATGGATTGGTCTTCACCGGATCCGCTGATGGAACGGTGAAGATTTGGCGAAAAGAGTTACAAGGAAAAGGGACAAAGCACTTCTTCTCACAAACCCTTTTAAAGCAAGAATGCGCGGTCACAGCATTGGCTGTGAACTCGAACGCCACGATCATTTATTGTGGATCGTCCGATGGGCTAGTCAACTTTTGGGAACGGGAGAAGAACCTCCAACACGGCGGAGTTTTGAGAGGACATAAGTTGGCGGTTCTTTGCCTAGCCACGGCCGGGTGCTTGGTATTCAGCGGCTCCGCAGACATGGGGATTTGCGTATGGAGAAGAGTAGATGGGGACCACATTTGCTTGTCGGTGCTGACGGGGCACACTGGGCCGGTGAAGTGCTTGGCCGTGGAGAGAGACAATGAGAACTCAACGTCCGGAGAGAAAAGGTGGATAGTGTACAGTGGGAGTTTGGACAAGTCGGTGAAGATGTGGAGGGTTTCAGAGCAAGCACCGCCGATGGTGCCGAATCAGAAGCACCAGCATTACACGTCGGATGGATATTGTGTGCCAATGTTGAGCGCGGCGCCTAGCTTTGCTTCTCGTGGAGGGAAAATGGGTTCAAGAAGATTTTAGGGTTTGATTTATGTTTGACCAATTTATTATGATGGTGTTTGTGTGCATGTGATCAATGGATGTGACTTTGTGCATGCTTATAACATGTTCGTCGATAGAAGGTTTGGCTCGGTGGGTTTGTAAAGCTAAATTTTTAGGGCATGAGTGGGATGCCAAATTCATCACTTGTTGATCTTGAGGTCACAAATTAACAATAACATATATACTGTGTCTGAATGATTTATTTGCGTAGCTATACATTTTAATTATGCTTTTTATTCTACATGCGCATGTTTTGTTGGTCATATTTCATTAAATTCTATCTACTTTATAATGATGATTAAGACTTCACACCATCTTTGATTCCTATATAAATGCTTCGTTGGTATTGAAACTAACGAATGTGAATCACCAAAAGTCTTCTCATACTCGTGACAATATGGCAGATCTTAGAATATCTTACTTAATATTTAGTAATTTTCAATGGGTATGATATATTTAGGTTAGGTGTGAGGAATCTCCCTCTCTCTGCTGCAACTTGCAAGCAACCTGCCTTTGAATTTAACTTTTGGCGGTTTTGGACTATCAGATTATGGATACAGGTGAGTCAAAGATGAAAACAAGTGGATGAATATATATATTAGTTACTGTACTTGTACATCGGACTTTTGTAATGAGTTGGTTGATTTATGAGAAATTCTACATTCCTATTTATTAATGCTGGTGTTACTGGTGGCCACCCTATCTAAAATTTCTCTCATCTCCATAGTCCTCTCCTGGTGCCTCTACATTCCTATTGACTAAGGGTGGTGTTACTATCAACCTCCATTCCTATTTTCTACTCCTATCTCTCTATTAATACTCATCATAAAATTATATATGTAACTAATTGTCTTTTCTCTTTTTGTTGATTGTGAATGATACATTTCTCTATATTTGTGATTAGAGGTGTTAAAATGGATTGGCTCGGCCTAAGTATGATCCGAGTAAGTAAGGTCCGACACATCACGACCCGTACTTTTAGGCAGGTTGAGACAAGATAGTTCTGCCTAATGAGTTGGGTCAGCTCGAAGCCCAACAAGCGGGCCTATTTAAAGCCCACTTTTTAAAGAACTAAAACTAAACGCTTATGAAAGCGTTGAGTAAAAAAGACTTATGGGAAAAAGTACTTCGTATGTAAGTAGTCTAAGCGCTTTGATCTATCAACCGTATGCAACTCAATATATCATTGGGGTCGATAGATTGAAACACCTCCCAACTTATTTGTTCTCCTATTAATCTTGGGTGATGATTTTCTCATTCTCCTTTTATCCACTTACACTTCCCTTTTAAAAAAAAAAAATACATTTTACTATAACATACAACTTCCAATAAGAGAGTGTAAGTGGACAAAAGAGAAGTGGGAACATACAATTTCCAAAAAAAGAAATGTAAGTTGACAAAATAGGAGCGTGAAAAACAGCTACCGTAATCTTTGAATATATATGCAACTTATTGACGTTTAGTAACAAATTCCTAATTCTGGCTACTTTGATTTATGGCTTAATTATGTACATGCTCCATGTGCTTTCAAACTTATATCAGATTACCACATGTGTTTGCAAACGTCTCAAAGTACCCACAAACCTTTTAAAAACCGTCTCACGTTACCCGTTCCATCAGTTTTTTTGACGTTCCGTTACGAACGTTGGGCCCCACTTATTTTTTTCTCCTCCTTCCCCCCTCCCCCAATTCGAGAACAACAGCCCCTCCCCAACCGGCAGATTTTCAATCGCTTATTTACCCTCCAAAACTCAGAAATTTCTCCTAACCAACACAATTAGCAGCAAGAACAGCTCGAGAGGTTGAAAAACCATACCTTGATCGAAGCAAATGGTGCTCGAAATTGCCCGAACGAGTGATGGAGATTTTGGGTAAAAAAGGGCCAATTCCTTGCTTGTTCCAGCGACCCAGACAGTTGTTGGCAGCGGCTGAGATGTGAGGCTGGTAGAGGACAACGTGCTGGTTCTTTTGATACCCATGCCGTCGCTTAGGGTGGCCGGAGGAGGAGATGGTGGCCCAAAAACTGTTCAGATGAACAATAACAAAGGGGAGGGGCTGCTGTTCTCGAACAGTAACAAAAATTGTTCGGAATGTCAAAAAAATTGATGGAACGAGTAACGTGAGACAGTTTTTAAAAGGTTAGGGGGTACTTTGAAACGTTTACAAACACAAGTGATAATCTGAGATAAGTTTGAAAGCACGGAGGGCATATACATAATTAAGCCTTAATTTATTTATTATTTTTATAAAATAATTCTGGCTACTTGATAACACGCACGTTATACACGAATTGTAATATTTGCGGACTTCAGGAAAAATGGTGGTGGTGGGTTCAGTAAAAATGCACTATAATATATCATGCATGCCGACAAATGAAAAAAATTTGCTTTTGAACTTTTTTAGCACCACCTTTATCCAATAACCATAAGATTTAAACTAGCCAATCCAATGCATATTTTGCTTATCCATACAGTTTAGAAATGTAAGGTCGATATCGTTATATATGATTTGAGTCACAAATTTGAACTATATACTTGTGGATAGTATATATATATATATATATATATATATATATACAGTCCCATTCTATTGAGGGATCTCTCAAATAATTTTATTTGAGGGACGCCTTTTAGGGTGCCCTACAATTTTTTTTCCAATGATCCAAACCATTTATTTTTCAGGTCTTCATTCATAGATCATCCTTACAAAAAATTAGACAAATCGGAAACCGTTTCGACATCCAATTGTGTCTTACAAAATCAACGAACACGGCGCTTCAAGAAAGTACTAAAATTTCAATAACTCAATTGAATGATCAAATGATATCAGATTCAAGTGATTTTTTGTAGAGATGATCTTTCAATGAGTATCTACAAAATATACGGTATGGATTAGTGAAATACAATCCGGAGTGGGTCCTACAAGGGGTGTCCCTCAAATAAGCTTATTTGAGGGATCCCTCAATGGAAGCTTTCTGTATATATATATATGTATAAGTGCAGAGGTGGGGTTGAACTACAAACAATTTAAGAATATATTTTTCTTTTTATTATTTTTTAAAATACAAACTATAATCTAAACTACAAAGGGAGGAGGAGGTTCTCACACACACAATATCAAGGTGTCACATAAGTTCAAACGTAAGACCATTAATCTATATATCGAGGCCCTTTGGGCATACTATGTTGGCTTCTTTTCACTTTTTCTTAATAGACTAAAAACACTTACAACATCACAAGTGATGCAATCTCTATAATATCCAAACTCAACCAATAAAAAATATATATGATATAAGACATTTCTTTATATTCTCACAATTGGAAACATTATATTTGTGACTTCTAAAGAATAAGAACCCAACACAAAGCAAGTCACACATTTACCCTATTTACCTCTTTTTATAAAAGGGATGCTTAAATACCAATTCTCATGACACTTGCTGGTCAAATATTATTGCAGTTCAAATTAGGTTTTGACATATTGAAAAGTTCACCATCACACAAGATCCTAACTAATCTTTAATCATCTAATAAAATAGATGGTTATTGAATGAAGCTGTTTTCAACAACAATCGTATATCTTATTAGATCAGTAATCATATGAAATGAAACAAGCATTTCAAATATCAACGAGACATAATTTTAAAAAATGAAATTTCCACGAATATATCTAAATTTCATCGAAGGCATGTATCATATGTAATTGTTGTAAAGTTTTCATTTTATATCTGTTGAAATATATATACAGAGAGCTTCTATTGAGGGATATCTTAAATAAACTTATTTGAGGAACACCCCTTGTAAGTCCCACTCTGAATTGTATTTTACTAATCCAAACCGTCTATTTTGTAGATACTCATTCAAAGATCATATCTACAAAAAATTACTTGAATCCGATATCATTTGACCACTCATTTGAGTTATTGAAATTTTAGTACTTTTTTGAAGTATCGTGTTTATTGATTTTGTAAGACACAATTGGATGTCGAAACGGTTTTAGATTTGTCTAATTTTTTGTAAGGATGATCTATGAATGAAGACCTAAAAAATAAATGATTTGGATTATTGAAAAAAAAATTATAAGGTACCCTAAAGAGTGTCCCTCAAATAAAATTATTTGAGGATCCCTCAATAGAAGGGGATATATATGATCGAAGCCCACTTTCATAATTGGAATTTCATGTTTAGAACAAGCAGCCCATTATTGCAGATTTCATTGCAGGAGAGAGCATTAAATGTAACTGAACTCAACAAAGCAACAGAGAATCCTAAATCCAGTTCCACGCTCAGAAAATTGATTGGCTGCAACTCCGCCAAAGCAGAACGACATCCCCACAGTAAAATATAAAAAGCGCATAAAATAAAAAGTCCGTAATGCCCTTTCGTGGTCCTCTTCGATACCAACGCCACGGCAAAAAAGACAAAAGTACCCCAAACTGGACCCCACCCCTCTCCAAAAAACCAAAATGTATATATTTTTTCCTCACTTCTCCGCCTGTCACTTTCTCTCAGTCCCCCAACTTTCCAGACACATTTTCCTTCTCCCCAGACGCTACCCTCACCTTCTCTCACCTTCAGCTTCCCATGAAAACTTCTCCTCTCTCCTTTTCCCAATCCCTTTCCTCCATTTTCACTCCACTCTCCACCAATCAAAATTCAGCCAAGCCATTGCCTTCCTTGTGAATTTGTAGTTTCAATCCCGAGCTCATGTTCTAGATGATTCTGTGCCGTTCCTGCTCAAATTAGGGTTTCGAGCTAGATTTCGACGACGCAATGCCTTCAGGAGCCGACGATGGGGCCCAATACTCGTTTGCTATAGAGTACAAGGGTCCTCCGGTCAATTACGATCTGCCCCGGGCAGTTCCGATCAACGTCGATAGAATCCCGGTAGCGGCGGTGGTCGGACCGGTCTCGCTGCCTGAGAAACTCACCTTACCAGTGGTCCAGCCCGTACTGGCACCCAAAACCTTCTCCAAGGAG